ACTGAATATATTCAAATTATCTCCCCTTTAGGATAAGTAGAGGATAAATCCCTACACGGTTCCCAGTAGATAATTTAGGGCTTCCGACACTTTCCTAGAGATACCAAAATGCCGGCTACCCATTTTTACATGATGCAGACCGTACATCCGCCTTGGCCGTGCAAGTATTCATCTTTTAAATAAGCTGAATCACTGCTATTAAAATAAACTTGAAGCAAGTCCTCTGTTTTAAGGTTTTTTAAATCTAAGGTAGTAAACATTTTGCCTGATAACGGCAGTGTTATCAAATATATGCCAAAGATTTTTTTTGTATAAAGAAAAATTACATTAGATACTTTTAATACTGGAATTTGGTTACATTAGATATCTGAGCTCCTACGAACAATGATGGGCAACTCTTGTAGAAGCTGTGGCATGAACCCTCGTCCAAAAAGATTTTAATCTTTTAAAAAACAAACAAACAAAAAAAACAACAACCAATCAACCAACTCCCCCTCCCCCAAAAAAACTACATTTTGCTCCTTTTCACAATAGTGCACAATTTAACCATAATTTAGCTATGGTCTCAAAGCAACAGAAGATGCATATTTTTATTTATTTATTTGCATCCCTGTATTTTTGTGTGTGTGTGTGCGCGCCCTTCTATTCTTAAGTTTGGCAGAACTATGTCCCAAATAAGAAACTACTGCATTTCAGCCATGTCATTAGAAAAAATCCACAGCATTATACCCATTGCTGACGTACTTTATAGATTAACAGGACATGAAACGTCATGTCTCAGAGGTGAGTTTCTTTTTTCTCTCCCCCAGTCACCCATCTTCCACCCTCCCGCCCCCCTCAAAATTGTGCTCTCGGAGCCACAGAATGTACCAAATATCAAGTTCACTCTACCTCTTGAAATAATGCATTAAAATATATATATTTTAAAAGAAACTCTGTTTAAAGGTGAAAAAATATAAACAAGGAACCGATTCACTCCCTTACTTCATGCATCCGTAAACTTAACCAAAATGAAACAAAAAAACCAATGTTTAAAAGCAAAGAACAAAATACCGCTGCAGGTTTATGCAAGTCCGTTTTCTCTGTACACGCAAACTGCTCAACTACTGAGAAGGGGGAGGGGAAACAAAACCACAAACCATCGTGACTCTGGATTAAAAAGGGAGAAATAAAGGCTGTCATTAGTATCTTCCAAATTTGGTACATGTATGGTCTGCTCTTGTATGGTATATTTCTCTCTCTTCTGTTTTTCATACGCGAAACTTCTAAATGTTATTTTGGGGCACAGCAGATTCCAGCACTTGGTGAACAGGATTCACAAGCTGTGACAAAACTCTGTCATCCTCTTCAGGGTGTAATCTTTATTTTATTTTATATACAGTATATGTATATATTTCTTTTAGGTTTGGCTGTACTGGACTGGCCATGGTTCAATTGGGACTATAGCAGTACATGGGTTAGGGACAGTCATTTTGGCTATGTACACATTCATAGTCGGTCCATGGCTTCCAACTAGTAGCGCTATTTCCGTAGGTCTAATACACAAACCTGTAAGAAAAAAGAAATACATATACAGAAATGCACACTGCACAGCATTTTTACAGCTATACAATTCTATATATAATATAAGGTCATAACAACAACAAAACAGGTTATGCAAATTAACCACAAATCTATTATTGGCAGGAAAAACAAACCCATGAACAACATTGTGCATCATCTGTAAACTATGAATACAATAGACAAAACCAAATGATTCTGGGGAAAATTTTCAAAAGCACCGAAGTGATTTAGCAGCCAAAGTCCCATTGACTTTTATGGACACCGAGGCTTCTAAGTACCTAAGTAATTTTTTTAAATGTGATTTAGGTGTTATTGAAAAGTTACCCTTTACGTTGTTATTCCCTGAGTATTTCTCCTGGTGCCCATTTGGTTAAAAAGTGGCACATTTTTTTGCCGTGTGCTGTGCTAATAACGTGTAACCAGGTGCTCCTAGTACTGCCATCCTTGTCTTCTGTTCCACAATCCCCAACCCCTGTGGTGTTCTACACCCCACTGTTGCATCTTGTCCTTCTTTAAATTGCAAGCTCTTTGTAGCAAGGTCGATCTTTTTTCTTTTATGTTTGTACAATTCCCAGCACACTAAGGCCATATTAAGGGTCTCTGAATGCTTTGCTAATACATATAATAATCACCGCCATGGGATTCACCAGAATATTGTGACAAAAATAGCTAGTCTCAGGTCATTCCTATGCAAAAGCAAAAGTTGCTCATAAATGACAATGATATTGAACTACTGCATTTTTTGCACATGGAGAATTCATTAGCATGTAAAGACACACAATGGTTAAATGAGGGGTTTTATATGGATTTTGCTTCTCCAGATTAAAAAAACCCCAAGGGATTAACATGGTTATATCCCAGTCATTCAAAACAAGACCTAATTGGAACTTCAACGGTTTCTTTTTTGTTATGGGAAACCAACAAAAACAACAAAAAAGGATACTGTGAATTGTTTTGCCTAATATGTGGTAGTTAAAAGCCAAGGAATCTATCTGGAGCCAATTTGTGAAGTACTGTAAGATCTCATTAAATCTGCATTGTGGGAGGGTGAAAATATGAGAACAGATTGGACCAGTCAAGAAAAGAACATCTAATAGTACACAGTTTCCTATTATAATCTAATCAGAAGATGGATCAATTGCTAGAGCCTGGAGTTCCTTCATGTCTACAAATTGAGGCTACCCTACCAGAAAAAGAAAACCACATGTAAACTACATTTGCGTTCTTCATTTGTTTCATTATCACCCAGTTTATGGTATAACTAGCTCTGGATTAGCGGGGAAGCTGTGGGTGGGTTTAAAGATATCATTTTACTAACAAACCTCACCAGAGACAGTAGAAATAATAGTTTTTTAAATGTTCAATTAAAACTAGCGTCACATGACACATGAACTTAATGGGGAGATATCTGTAAATTTTGACTGAATATATTCAAATTATCTCCCCTTTAGGATAAGTAGAGGATAAATCCCTACACGTTCCCAGTAGATAATTTAGGGCTTCCGACACTTTCCTAGAGATACCAAAATGCCGGCTACCCATTTTTACATGATGCAGACAGTATGAAAACTTTCTTTCACTGAGATGAAGCCTCTGCAATGCGGTTTCATTTCTTTTTGTACTCAAGAGAGCTGCCCACTTTCTGTTCAAAATAGATTGGTTTGTCGTGGTTCAGGCCTTCCCAAAAGTTGTCCTCAGTTTATTTACTTTATCAAATGTCCCCTTAAAGGGTCTGAAAGGATCATTTTCTATCATCCAGAAAGATTTAACTGGAAGGCACTTGACTTCACTGCTTGAAGGAATACTTCCTGGTATCAGAGAGAGAATCCTGCCTTTCCCCAACTGTGCTCTTTCTTTCTATATCTATATGTATGTGTCAGAAGCTAGGGGGAGGGAACATGCAGACTCTTTGGAATGTGGGCTATCAGATCATTTGAGTCTCTGGACTGTGAAGGTACCAGGTTAGCTTCTCTCACTTACTGACTGACTTATGGCACTCCTTCAAGCTACCAACTCCCAGAGTACATGCCCAGAATAGCTCTTACCCAACATTCTTATTTCTGATTTGTGTTGGGCTTGATCCCTGTCTCTCTCCTTTCTTATTAACCCATGACATTAAGAAGTCATGGTTTGCCTGGCTGCTGTGCAGAGTCACACATGAATATTTTTAATGCAGTGTTGTTGCAGGTTGACATCAAAAGAACTGGAAGGCTACACTTTGTCACACTGCTACAGGGAAGAAAGGGCAGATTCATGCTTCATTAGAATTTCGGAGCTCATCTCCTGGGCACTCCAAACAATGTAAGCAAAATGTTACTTGTATAAAGGGACTTGTAACCAATGAGTGCTCAGAAATTAGTTTAATTTGTCTTCGTTTAATTCTCAATAGCAACTCAAATGATACTTCATTCATATCAGATAATAAAAAATTCCCCCCTACACTGATCAGTTCTCTTGAAATGAAACAGGTTGCAAGCAACTAGTTTCCACACTGAAATGAACAGACCAGTTATTATGTACATATTTCTATAGCACATATTGTTTTATAGCCTCTCCTGGCTCAAAATCGTAATATTTCACACTTGCATCTGACAATTTTAAAGGACTTGACAAATCGAAATGGATTACACTTCACAAAACCCCTGTGACCAAGAGAGACAACTTCCAACCTTGCCTTAATTTCAGATGTTCATTTGAGTGGAAAACAAGTGCAGCTTTATGCCACATTTTATAGGTAAAATTATAGATAATTGGCTATTTGTACTCATTCTTCCTCAGAATAAGCACAATTTCTCTCCGTTTAGTCAACAGTCCTCCAGCCTATCCGACTGTCTAAAAAATATACATGTGTAAGAAATGTTGGCGATTGTTCTACTATACTTACTGAACCATCTGAAGCACTTGCTCCAACTTTGTCTCCTGCTGCATTCCAGCAAACCTCAAAAATCCCTCCTGTTCCCCGATAACTGTGAACTAAAGCACCTGTCTACACGGGGGGGAAAATATGCAATTAGAATAATAAAATGCACACGAGTAAGTAGAGTTTGTACAGTATGTAGAACTTCCCAGTTACTTTTAAAGGGTGAAATTCTCCCCGGGGAAATGATCCATTTAAGATCTCACGTGCAACTTAAGCATCATGTTAAAGCATTTACCAAACTCTGTTATCCTGTATACCAGGATATTCTAGTACAGAGGTCTCCTTGCAAAACAGCAATTACAGTTCAGAATTTCTGGATATACAGTTATTCTTTTCTGGAACTGGATCCAAAACATGCAACAACATCATATATCACTGACTGTAGCTGCTTTGGACAATAGCTATAACTATGTATGAACAAGTCAGCTATTTATACTTTTCAGAACCCAGCGTATGCGTGTGTGTTGAATCCTTATGCTGAAGTTGTGACACTGAATAAACACGTCTGTGAGAATTAGTTTGTGGTTTACACAGAGAAGTCATATTTTAAGTTCTAAGTTTTACCTTGTCAAAAATTTGCAGAGAGACCCATTTGAACTGAAGAAAGCTACTTTCACATACTATATTTAATATTTATATTGAATATACAAAGCTACAGCAGCTGAAACAGCTTTAGAACAATATATGATTCACTGAATAAGTCTGAAACACACCAATCAAACAAACTGGCTCATATAAAAACAGCATGTACCTGTGTATTCCAGATGTGAACACATTTGTCAAAAGAGCCACTGGCCAGGTACCTGCCATCAGGGCTGAAAGCTACACTGTACACAGGTTCTTGATGTTTCGTTAAAGTGTGGATGCAAATTCCTCTGTCTACATCCCATAACCTAACAGTAGAATCAAAGGATGCACTGCCAAAGGAAAAACAGATGGATTACATTTCAATTTTATTCATTTTTTCCCCTTTGATGGGAAAATCTCTTCTTTAATGCCAGAGTATCTCCTAAAGTAGAGGTCCAGTTAGTGCTAACATACATTTACAGAAGGCGAAAAAGGGAGGGGGGCAGGGGGAATTGTCAACTTCTTGACTGGTATGATAAAAGGATTAAATATTACCTTGCTAACATAAGATTGGCATTTGGATTGTTTGTTCCTGGTCCTGTAGGACTCCATTTGATAGTATAAATTTCTTTGTTGTGTGCTTGTAAATCATGGACACAACTATCTTGTTTCATACTCCAGATCTAGGGTAAAAATGGAAGGAAAAAACAGATTATGTTTAGGGTATTAAACACTACACTAGAACATACGGATTCTCCCACCCTCTTCCTTGCTCACAGCTAACAAGGCCCAACTGACAGCTTTTTAGGCCACCCAAATCATACACCATCACTGGTTGCTTTACAGTGGAGACAGGTGTATGTTTTCTTTAAGTTATCAGTACAGCATGGGGTTAAAAAATAAACAAAGGAGTGACATGCAATATTTCCTATCTCAACAAATGCATGCATGCTCATTGCGAGTCCAATCCAAAGACCACTGAAGTCAATGGACATGTGCTAAGATACAGCGAGCATATTGTGGTGTTTGTGTCAAAGTTGTATGAACTGATTATCATGGTTATCACTGAGCTTTGTTTTTAAATAGACTTTGTGCTACTATGGTAGGGTGCAGAAAAGGATATTGGGGAAATATACTTCTTCAAACAGAATAATATATGCATAATGGAAAACCGTTAAGGTGTTTGACTTGGTGGGGTAATAAGACTTTACAGGGATCACCTTTTTGTTCTGGGTTTGTACAGCACAATAGGATCCCAATCCATGAGTAGGGCTCCTACATGCGATCATAATACAAATAATAAAACAAAAACAAACAAAGTATTCCTTTAAGGGTTTGTGTTTTCATTACAAAAACGGGTTTGGGAGCATTCATAAAGCTTTGCATACATTTGAAACTTGATATTCATTCAAATTATTTGTACAAGTGCAATTTTTTTCCTTTAATGATATCTAATTTGGTATCATTTTAGCTCGCCTCACTTTAGCCGTGACTCAGGAAAGCATTTAAACATACTCCTAAGTCCATCTCTGTTATGGCCAGCACTTAAACATGTGTTTAGAGTTAAGATGCTTTCCTGAATCAGAATCCCTTTAAAGACAGCGGGCACCGGGAGGGAAGAGAGGAAAGATTTTATTATATTTCTGATTTAAAACGGCTGGATCAAAAAATAAAATCTAGTTTATTTTCCCTCATTGTGAAGAACGTTCAGCACCAGTAAAAAGTTTCTGTATGAGAAACCTTAGAGACTAAAGTCTTCATTTTATCCACCGGTTTGAAAACACATTGGCATCATCAGTCCAAGGCTCCCCTTACTGCCATATCCAGGTGGCTCAAGCATAACCTGGAAACACCACCTCTAAACATGAGTAGTTCAATCTTCTTCCCGGTTCACTCCTTGGGAAAGGCCAATAAGTGTGCTAACTGCAATGGGGGGGAGGGGGAATAATGATGGGGATATCTATCCAATAGCAAATACAGTGGAAGACCACGAGACCATCAAACAGCTTGTGAAATGAAGAGATTGCTGTCAATTTGGTTTAGATGTGAAGCAGCAACCTGGACGTGAAAGGCTCTACATCGAGAATGAGCTACAGAGTACACTAGGCCCTTCTAATAAAAAAATAAAATATAAACAACAGAGTTGTCCTGGTTTGAAACATTTGCAGTATTTATTTGCATATTTATGTTATATAAAGTCTTAGTAAAAGAAAAAGCATTGATGTGTTGTAAGAGTACATCCAAAATCCCAGTTACATCACAATTAGAGCCATAATGATCAAAGTGTATTTAGAGAGAATCTGAAGGGACTGTGACCTCTGTATTAACAAATATAAAACAACATTAAAGGCCAGGTTCTCATACTCTGACTCTGGTTTAGCTACATCTTAACTCCATAAATAGTTCTACTAACTTCAGGGGGATTCCTTGTAAAGTAAGATATTATTCAATGTAAGGAAGGGTATCTTAACCTATCCTTCATGGAGACTGAAGTATGGTGGTGCCCACTCTCATATACTTTGCAACATCAGGTCTTTTGTGCTTAAGTGTATGGAATGTAATAGCAGACGGGTTCCTAAAACACCTGTCATCAGCTTAACATAATGAGGTGAGTAAATGAAATGATACTGGAAAGCATCAACTCTAAAATGAGAATGGTCGGGGCATTCAAGTCCATCTTCAGTTTTTCTATGGTACCTACCACCGTGGTATCTAAGCTTGGACTCCTAATGCAATGGCAGACCCTTCATACTAATCTATTTAGTTCCATAATTTCCCCCAGTTAAACAAGCTGTATTGTAAGGCGTCATGCAGCTGTGAATTATTCATGTGCATAACAAGGAGTCCTGTTGAGTCAGTAAGGCCAGAGGACTGCAGACAATCTTTCAGGGAAACTGGGTAGCAAGCAATATGGTAAACGTGGCCATGTTGAGAATGTCTTTTAAGACCCATTTACTGGTATTTGCATGGGAGGCAGACTGTGGAATAGACAGGTTGCATGACGAAAGACGCTACTGCTCACTTGTTAAATTCTCAATCAAGCACCTTTATGGTTTTTCTCACACTGCCCCATGTGCATGGGAGAAGGTCTCCGTAAACATCCGCAAAACTAACTCATTATCATCCTTCAAATGCCTCCTTAAAACTCTCCTCTGCCATGGTGCCTACAGAAAAACCTAATAAAGGATAGGCTGAATCCACTGCCTGTCATGATGATCAATACTGCCTCCTTGTTTCCTTGTACTTCCCCATCACTCTGTCTGTTTCCATCTATCTCTTGCCTAATACTTAAATGGTAAAGCTCTTTGGACAGGGGCTGCCTTTCTGTTCTGTATTTGAGCAGCACCTCGCACAATGAGGGCCTGGTCCATACCCGGAGCTCTAGGTGCTATGATAGTACTACTAATAATATTAAGACAGTTATGAAGAAAGCCAGCACAGGAGCTAGCTACAGCCTGGCCCTACATAAATCGTACACTACATTGATTGTAACATTTCTCTTTGAGCAAGACTGAGCAATGTCTCTATAACCACAAGTGTAAGTGATAGCACAATTATTAATGGGCCTGATCCTGTAAACCGCTACATGTGTATAGTAAATTATACTCAAATTCCCGTGAAGTCAATGCATAAGTTCACAGGGCCGGGCCCTTTGGATGAAAGACTGTTTTTAACGAATAGAGATATTTTAGAAATGTCTGAGTCAGGTTTTTAAAAAAGGACAAATGTTAAAGAATGAAATAATGACGTTAAAATTACTGAATTACGAAAACAACAAGGCTAGTAGTGCACATGGTAGATCTCTACAAACACACACAGAGGTTGCAGTGTACAATAGCTATAAAAATGTACTATTGCCCAAAACTGCAGTTACCTTTAAAGTCATGTCATCAGAACAGGATGCCAGAAGATTACCAGTCGGATCCCATTTGATTGCATTTACTTCATTCTAAAATTGAATAAAGAAAATAAAGTGGAAGTCTTTGTTTCCATTATAAACGACAGCTTACAAAAATAAAGTTAGACAGTAAATAGGAGTACTTGTACAGTTACATTTCAAAATACTATCAACTCCCGTTTCCACTCCACCAGTAATACCAACCCTTATCGCCCAATAGTCAAATTTTCCCAAAGCACCTTTGTGCCTTCTTCTGCACGGGTGCATCTCAAAGCCATCACATTACTCTCCTTCAAATCTCTCTTTGAAGTTCACCTATGTTGTGGTGCTTAATCACTTGACAATGGTAAGGCAGCTGGTGTGCTGTGACTGCTGATTACTCCAATCATAAATGTTTCAGTGTTACCTTGTACATCCTACCCCGTTTGCGGTATCCACCTATTGTCTCTTGCCAAGGACTGGTTGGATGTTATATACCATACAGTGCGTAGCACAATACAGCCCCCATCTCGGATTAATACTACTACTAATATACTCAAAAAGAAGAACAGGAGTACTTGTGGCACCTTAGAGACTAACACGGCTGCTACTCTGAAACCTACTAATATACTGATACTATCAAATAGCAAACACACATTTTCCAACAAATTAAGTAATAAGGAGATTTTAAAACTTCATTCAGTATATAGAAACCAAGTCACTACTTACTGTGTGACCCTGGAAGGTTTTGATAGGTCTATCTTGTCCTAATTTACAGACATGAATACACATATCTGTGCTGCAAGAAGCAAATGTGTTGTTACTCTGCCAGTCAACATCTAATGCTGGTGCTAGAAAAACAAGGAGAGATATTTAAGTTAAGATATATACTTTGGAAAGTTTTGATTTGTGAATCTTCAGCGCAGCCGCTTTGTAACTTGGAACAAATGCCAACAGGGAGTGACTAAATCAAGTTAAAAGAATTAACAAAGGGTTTTAAACATGTTAGAGCAGTGGGAAATGTAACCAGCAAATGCAGTTTAATGTAGACACATGAAATTAAGTTTAATAGGAAAGAATCAAAACAGGGAACACATCTGAAATGAAACAATTCTACAGAAGGCAAGACAGACATTGATGTCTAATAGCACAATAAGCCACTATGAATCGATCCAAATTTGAGACATAATCATGGTCCTTGCACCCCAGCTGGCAGGAGCTGGAAGCTCATTGCAAATACCACTCCCAGCTCCTCCCAAGTAGCCGTGAATGCTTTACATTATTGTGCTTTACAGTAGTGACCCCTCCTGTTGTTGCCACGCCATTAAGTCCATGAAGTTAGGGGACTCAAAAAAGGTGGGAATATGAGGGAGTTTGGAACAGATACCAAATGACATATTCTTTGCTTCCTCTGCTCCATCTCCCAAGCCACCAGGGGTAAAAGAAATAATGAAATGGACTTGTCTGTTTTGATTTTTAAATAAATCTATTTTAAATTCTGGATCATAAATAAAGATATAAAACACAAACAGATCTTAATTTTGGGTAAGTTCTTAAATAAACCCACACAGATGATATGAAAGTTAGTTTTCATTAACGTTTCATTTAGCAAGAGGGACATGCCAGTTTACAATAATACATCTCTATTATAGTTTTTAACCTGTATTATGTTGTATGTGGTGATCAATGATGGTAGCAGACACACACAAAATTTGTTTTTCAAAGATATATTACTCAGACAGTTTGTGTGTTGTCAGATCCAAATTAAAAAGCTATAAATAGGTATATTAGATTTGAAAAAGCCCATCACGTTAATGTTTTAAAACTTTTTGTTCTGTTTTTGACCATTCTGAGCTGTCACCTGCAGAGAAGTACTTACCAGAATGAAAGGGAAACTGCTGCTTGGCTTCTCCGGTATGGGCATCCCAAATAATTGTGGTCTGAGTTAAAAAATAAACAAACTTGTAAAACTGCTACAAATCATAGGTCTTTTCCATCATTAACGTCTATTAGGTCCTCTACTCTCATCTTCCTGCTGGCCAGGATTGGTCACTATTATACATTTTCTAGTGTTTTATCAAGTCTAGTTTCACATGTCCCAAACAATGGGTCTTCTACCACTTCCTTTCAAAGACTACCCTAATATATTTTAATTACCAGGAAGCAAGCACTTCCTCACTGCATCTTAATTTTTTCCCCTTTTAACTTAATCACATTACTCATAATTATACCTTTTTGTCTTATTGTAAATAATTCCTTTAACTTCAAATATTTGTAGGCCATTATGTGCTCTCTGTTACTAACACTTAGAAGAGCTATATATATTTATAGCTTTTAAATCTATTCTCATAAATCAAACTCTTCAGCTACTAAATTATTTCTGTTACCTTCTTCTAAACTCTTCTTTAAGCAGTTTGCCAATACTCTGGCATCTTTCTGCTATACAAATATTTCAAATGAGTAAGTCAACTATCATGGCAAAATAAACATATTTTAAAAATAATTATATTATATCCTATGGGCCTGATTCTACTGTGACAGAAGTTAGTGAGGATTTTGTCACTGCATTCAATAGAAGCATGAACAGGCCTGATATTTTCTTACAGAAGTTAGTTCACTGAATACATGACTCTTTCCATCTCCCAGACAATGCAGAATATTTTCTTACACTATATTCTCAATTGCATTCTCCAGTTGAGTTTTAAATGATTGAAGCAATGAGGCTTCTACCTCCTCTTTTGGGAGATCATTCACAATCCAACTGGATCGAATCAAATTTTTCCTGATAGCAAAGCCTGCATTTACCTTTGCACAATTTTGTACCCCCACTCTGAGTTATAAGCCCAGAAAATCCTAAACAATCCCTCTCCGTCCTTTATGTTTTTACTCTTCAATACCTCCCTGTTCTAACTACTGTCTGAAAAACCTCTCAATTCAGAAACAGCTTTTACCTCTTCCTTTATTTTTCTTAAAGATGTGGTCTAAAACCTGATTCAGCAATGATTGCCGCTGCACTGCACAGGCCACTTCCCCACATTTAGATACATTGCCATTTTCATTCTTCCGTTTTTTGAGATACTGTACCTCAGAAAATAAATCCTAGATACATTGGTTTTACACTGGTATAATGCCACTGACTTCAGGGGAGTTACTTTCGACTTACATTGTTATAACAAAGAGAACCAGGCCCATTTTATCCACTGCATTCAAATCATCAACTAATTTTCCAACTCTACATCATATAATCAAGTTTATCTAGCACAATTGGTTCTTTATAAATCCATACTTTCTATGACTTTATTATCTTCTAACTGCTTACCAAATTCTTATTTAGTGTTTGTCACGCAGAATTTAATCATGAAATAAATAATTTATTTAGCCAATAATTATCTCACCTTGTCCACTCCGGCACTTAAAATGAAGTTTCCTTTCTTGTTCCATTTTAATGCAAATATAGGTCCTTTATGTTGCCCTAAGGTGCTGGCAAGATTACCTGAAAATTTACATTGAAATTATTACATTCAAGAAATGAGAGAAACATGTAGTGAGGCACTACGCAGAAAAATATAATGAAAATGTAAAGCATTTCAATTACCGTCTTTAGTCCATATCCTTGCAAATCCATCATACGACCCGGTTGCTAGAAGTGTACCTTCACTCTGTCAGCAAAAAAGTTATTACATTTATTATACAATTCAAAACTAAGGGGCACAGAGCAAACTTCAAATAGAAAATGTTTTGCATAAGGGTCATGCTATTTAGTCCAGAGCCTGCAGTATATTAAAGAGAGATGCATACAATAAAACAAAAATATAATTCCGATGTGACTCTAAAATAGAAGCACTTAACAGCAATAACAGAAGGTGCAAAGCCCTTGTCATTTAGGATATGTCCATGCTGCAACCAGAGGTGTAATTTCCAGCTTGGATAGATGATCAAGCTAATGCGCTAACAGTAGCAGTGTAGCTGTTGTGGCCTGGGTGAGCTAGCTGCCAATGCTAACTAAGGCTTGGTCTACACTGCAGGCTTACATCAGTATATCTATGACAGGTTTCAGAGTAGCAACCGTGTTAGTCTGTATCCGTAAAAAGAGCAGGAGTACTTGTGGCACCTTAGAGACTAACAAATTTATTATGCTCTAATAAATTTGTTAGTCTCTAAGGTGCCACAAGTACTCCTGTTCTTTTTATCAGTATATCTATGTCTCTCAGGGGTGCAGAAAATCCACATCCCTAAGTGACACAGTTATACCAACTGAACTCCTGGTGTAGACAGCGCTGTGTCGATGGCATTCTCCCATTGCTATTGCCTCTCGGGGAGGTGGAGTATCTCTGTTGGCAGGAGAAGCTCTTCTGTTGGCGTAGACAGCGTCTTCACTAACCACTGCCGTTGTGCCCACGTGCTGTATGTACCTCAGACTCTAGGTACGGGTGGTTAGTTTGTCCCACTGCGGCTGCGCTTGAGCAAACCTAGCATGCATTCAATCTATCCAAATGGGAAATGACACCTCAGCCCCAGTGCAGATGTACCTTAGCATTTGACTGTGCAAAATTGCATTTTTTTCTAAGGTTATTTCAAGCATTTGTAATTTCCACTTACATTCCAATCCAGGGATGTCACATCTTTGTTGCTTGGTACATCTTGCCCACCTTCTCGTATACAGTGTCGGAGTACCAGCTGCGTGGAGCCACTGGTGCTGTTTTCACTGAGGTTCCATATCCGTGCTGTTGAATCTCCAGATCTAAGCAATCAAAATAACATCAAATTAATTCATAACAACAGAAAAGACAGTGTCCTCTTCAAGAGGCACGGACATATAGTGTGGTATCCTCTTTAGAAACTTGATTTTAAAAATGTTATATGTTAATATATTTTCCATAAAACATTCAAAAACACATCAGTGAAAAAAAAGTCAGATCTGAGAGCAGGTCCCAATTACAGTCATTCCTGGGACAGTTAGAATAGTCTGGTGTGATCAGACGCATAGGAGCAGTCTCACTTCTCATATACATGTTTGGTTTCCAGTCAGAATTTTATTCTGCAGGCTTTCCCCGCTCTGACAGAGCAGATCTGTAAGATTTGTCAATTTATCCCAAACAAATCTTAACATTGTTATCTTCCCACCCCCTATAAACTAGCATCAGAATATCTAGATTATTACAAGTATCAGAGGGGTAGCCGTGTTCGTCTGAATCTGTAAAAAGCAACAGAGGGTCCTGTGGCACCTTTAAAGACTAACAGAAGTATTGGTAGCATAAGCTTTCGTGAGTAAGAACCTCACTTCTTGTGACTTGCATCTGAAGAAGTGAGGTTCTTACCCACGAAAGCTTATGCTCCCAATACTTCTGTTAGTCTTAAAGGTGCCACAGGACCCTCTGTAGATTATTACACACACCTCAAGTACTGGAAACTATAATAACTGAGTTTCTAAGGGAGATAATGATTAGGTAAATTGGTTGTTTAAGATTATTAGAAAAAAAATCCAACCACTACTGGTCTTTAGTACAAAGTAATAGATTTACATGTACTATATAGAGCGTTCTGAACATTAAATGATTTAATTTTCACAACATTCATGTGAAGTGGGAAAAGTATTACTATTCCATCTTACAGATGAGACACAGCAAGAGTCAGTGCCTTCTTCAAGGTCTCATAGTGCGTTGGCATACTTGCAACAGTCCTGATCTCGGCTGGAGAGTCTCCAGCTTTTATCCTCCTTCTCAGGTGTCTTATATTTGTCCTGAGTGTCCTTGCTGTATTTCTCACCCTTGCAATGCAAGGCCATTGTTTTCACTGCGGATGGAAAACCAACTCTGCTTCTTCTGCCACAAGCAGGGAGGCAGCCATTGGAAGCTGCCATTCAGCTCCCCTCAGGAGGCAAAAGAAGAGGCCGAGGGTAGGAACTATGAAGGGGGGGGAACTGAAAGAATGCAAACGGGTGAATACCACACTGGTACTAGAATAGGGAGAATCTGATTGCTTCCTTTCCCCCCTCTCCAGCCATATTGGGGAAGGACAGTTAGTCAGAGATGCATAGTTGATGGACAGCATCCCCCAGTATTTGGAGCAAGCACTCAACTCTCTTGATAGTTAGATATATTTAGATATCTAACTATCAAGAGAGTTATATATATCCCCTAACATTTAAAGTTCACCAGAGTGCACTGAAAATCTTCTGGCAGCTGGATGCTGCCAAGCACTCATACCTTGTAGGGAAAATTGTTCCTAGGGGTAAAAAAGTTCTAATGTCAGGAACTTCAAGACAGTGGCAGAAGAGATACTGTCTATGGGGCATAGTGTACTGTGTTTGCAAAGTATATGAATACCCAGTTGCAATGAGAACTGCCATTTTTGCTTCCTTTTGTGAAAACATACCCTGAGGCCAGAAGGTCGCTAACGGGGTTCCAGGCGCAGATGAATACTTCAGATTCATGACCACGCAGCACCACTGCTTTGTTAGGAGGGATTTCAACATCTCCATCCACTTCCATCATATCCGTATGATTATCTGAATTATGGAAAACAACAGAAGAGAGTTTGGATTTTTACAGCTTGGGGTAATGTATTTCATTTGCTGAATATTAACTGGTAGGTTTATTCTGGAAGGGTAAATTCACAGAACCTATAGGCTAAGATTTTTGAATGTAACAGTGATTTCAGATTCAGATATCCAATTTGAGAAACCTTAAAGGGACCATGAATTACAAAAAGCACCAAAAGCCCTCCCTTAAGCCTCTTTAAGGTGTCTCACACTGGGCACCAAAAACTGACACCAAAGTTAATAGTCACTTGTGAAAAATCACTGTAAAAAACTGTATTTAAAAAAGCAACTCTCGTTATTTGCCAGGCTTTGTACTAAATGGATGAATAAAAGAGAGAATCTGATTCCTATCTTATGAATGTGAAATCAATTGCCTTTACTGTACATGAAATATCAAACTTCTGCATTTTAAACTTTAAATTAATGGCTATAAATGAATGTGAAATCAACATTTCAGCCCCTTCACTTCTAAAAATTATTTTAATTAACAGGCAGACATTTGGTTTTCTTGATACATGGTATACTGATAACTGAGATTTTTATCTTATATTGACAACTAGTGTCAAATTATGATTACATGTTGCTTTTCCATGTGGAAGGTATACTGAATCCTCATTATTCTGTAAAATATACTCTGGGTAATTCATCATTAAAAAACAGCTTTACTGCCAGCTACCACCAATACTTCTCTATTTTAAAAAATATTATTTCACATCAAGAGAGAGTTTTCTTGGAGAAAACCAAGATGAATATGAAGAGTGGTAAACATTAAACTGCTCCACATTTATCCATGGCAGTCACTGTATAAACAAAACCACTGTACATTGCTTAAATTTAATAGTAAAGGTGTTTTAGCAGCGTGTGTGTCAGTGCTTGTGTGAGAGAGAGAAGAGAAGAAGCTATTAGAGCACCATATAAAAAACTGTATTGACTGAAGAGAATCAATATCAATATGATTTGGTGTTCCAGCCAGTAGGGGTTGCTGGTATATCATATTTTTACACTAGCTTAGTAGAATAGTTCTAAAGCTTGAGGTTACAACTCACAGTTAACAAGGAAATATTACTATGGAGTTTTGAAATTTCTAAAATTTATGGAGGCAGTTTGTTTTTTCAGATTCATTTATTATAGATAAATAAATGAAAAACTAAAATAAAAAATAAAATGCAACTGTAAAGCTGGGCAAATAATGCACAAGCTTTAAGCGAATATTCAGTCAAAATTTCCTTTGGCTGCTCTTCTGCCCTATTGCATTCTTTTTCTAAAACGTTCAAGTAATCGGGCCTTTCAATTAATGCTTGCAGAAAGCTAAATTTCTTTTCTGTAAGCTTTCACACTATGAATCTGATTATAAGAGTAAACTTATCCAAACCTATGATTTATGTGACCAATCACAACTAAACAGCACAGCTCCAACACTAAACCACTGAGTAAACAAAATTTGCAAGAATTCCCATCAAATAATTTTGAATAATGAATCAAGAAAACTGATCTGTACTGTTGCAAGAAGGTAGACACATCTTTTGGTATCAAAGTGATTTATATTAAATTTCCATGCAAGGCTGGATTCTTCTCCTTTGCAGTTGTGATCTTCGTGGTGTGGCCACCAGGAAACTGGTTATAGGTGCCTGATTGAATAGGCCAGTCTGACCCTGTGCTGGCACTGGTATGAGTCAGAGTAACCTAGGCACTACTCTAACTTAAACTAATTGAGGATTGGTGAGTCGAGTTATGCCCTCCCTGCTTCCTATCCTCCGTACTGGGGTGAGGGTGGGGAGAAGCAGTTCTCAGAGGAGTCATCTCTGATGGCTTTATTCCAGCTGAGAGCTCCCCTACCCTGGGGGGAATTCTCAGATGGCAAGTTACAGCAATAATCCCCAGTGGCACGAAGGAGCCAGGTTGGAAATGAGAATCTGGCCTACAGTACCGATGGTCCAGAGTTTAGAAGTCTCTATTCCGACACACTGTAGAGAAACTGACTATTAAAATATCACATATAAACTTCTCCACAAGTCATGAAGTTACAGATCCAAGCCCCTTTATCTGAAGGATGCATTTACTATCTGAGGGGTACACTACAGATACAATAAGAGGCTGCATCTACTGATGAAAAGTATTATCTAAGAACTAGGTATTATTATTATTAGAACAAGGATATAGCCACACAATTGTGTACATAGATGGAGATCTTTTTCTGCCACAACTTACTTGCTATAGTGTGTGCTCCGTTCTCCTCGCCATTTGCAGTATTTTCTCCATTTTTCGCAGATCCCTGTTGATTAGTTGCAGCTGCAGCAGCAGCAGCTGCTGCCTGTTGTTGTGCAAGTTTATCTCTGTAGGCCTGTTGTCTTGTTTGTACCACATCAGGCATTACTGCATCTATCAGTGAGAGAGACTCTATTGGCCTACCGTCAAACAAGGTACCATCCTAATTTGGGGAGAGAAAAAACACACAGAAAAGATAACACCAAATGTTAGCTGTCATTAACAACAAAAATTCCAGGAAAAACTGTGCATTCCAAAAATTGTAGTTTAGTATAATAAAAAGGCAACCAGTCACAAATGCAGAGAGAAATACTATATAGAATATGTCATCATTTAATTTCTCTGCAGTTAAGCCTGGAATTTTACTCAAAAGTTGGAGTGATCATCATATATAGTGAGTAAACAAGCCATGGTAGGCCTCTAGCAGAGGCTCTGGGACCAAAAGTTATATGCCTTTCATTTGAAATAACCTTTTGTAAGCTACTTATGAATATGATTTCAAACATGAGTGATTGCAGCAAAAAAATCCAACTGCATACATTGCAAGTTTAGACTACCGCTTATGAAGTCCTATGAAATTTTCCATAAACACAATATCTGGAGCTTTGAGTAGTTTTTGTTTCTTTTTAAACAGTGTTAGCATAATTTAAAAACAAAGAATTGTATCATAAAATGGGCAAGACCCCGTCAAAAATAGTCTCTCATACGTTAGCTAAGGCCTTACAAGAGTCTATTTTTAGAACCTAGAGGGATTCCTAGTGATAAATAGAGGTTCTCCTTCTCCTGTTCTGAGCACTTGCTTTGTTTTTATGACCCTTCCTGAGGAAATGGATTTTTTTCACTCAAGCTGCGGAAGCTGCAGCTAAACCACCTCAAAGACCCGAGAGAGATTGTGAAGACACCAGAATTGATGCAAAATCTGTTTGTCTGACATAGCTTAATTGACAAATATAAAAGGCCTCTACTGCAAGAAGCTGATACCTTACAGGATCAAACTTTTAGATATGTATCTTTCTCCATTGCTGGAAACACGTTCATGGAATAATCATGGAAGCATCATGTATAATAGATCCGACTAGAGATCAATAAGCCAGTTCAGGCAAAATTCAAGTCTCCCGGGCACGTTCATCATTCCTGTCCTAACCAAATTCAAATGTTTTCCCCATTTAGTGAGCCCTTCCTTTCTCTCCATGAGCCCTCCCCAATGGTAGGCCCCTGACAGAGTTCTACGGGTCTTCTCCTCTCCCTCCTCGCCCCCCCACCCCAACCCACCTTAACAGGGGCTCTAGCTACAAGAGTTGGTGGAACCCTGTAGCCTCTCCTTTCTTGAGCCTCTCTACTGAAACTGGGGCTTCCCCAGTACTTTCATTCAGGACACACCATATACTTTGGAAATCCCAACAAACAAGGCCGTTTATTGAAAATCCTGATGCCACTGTTTTAGAAGGGAGCAATAATTCAAAGATAAGGAAGTTTCCGGGCCTGTTGGTAGGTAGGTGATGGTGAGAGGGAGACTGCCCCTGAGTTGAAAGGGGAGGTAGTAAATCTTAAAGAATTTGAATGAGTCCCCAAGCTTTTGGACTATTCTCTACACTGAACCCAGAACCTTTAAATGTTTGCCTATCATTAATCTCAGTTCACCATGGAACGAAAACCTTCAAACAGAAGTTAAGAATTCTTGTTCTTTTGTACTATTATTTTATAGTGTGTGTATTTTCTGGATTAACTACAACATTATATTAGGGAAAAAAACTCTACAGATAACGGACCTTTAAGCAATGAGCCAGCACACCATGCCTGGTGTTGTGTGGCTGCACTGGGCAGAACCCCTACACAGTTATGTCACTCCATTCTGGTTCCACCAGTGGAGTCATGGTGAACACCAGCAGTAAGGAATCTGAAGTAAAAGTAAATAAATAGGACACAAGAGAGTTAAGAAAAAAATACCAGTATTCAAATGTAATGTAAGCAAGCACATAATGCTTTTGTAGGCATCAAGAAACCTCCTTACCTCATTAATACTGACTTCAGCCTCTACATACTGCAGACCTTTCTGGATGATGGAAATCAAAGCAGCTGGTGGCACCAGAGCACCATTTATATTAGACTGGCTGATATGGCTCTCTATACCAAATGTAAATGCTGAATGAGAAAACCCTAAAGACAAGGGGGAAACTATCAGAATTGTTTCACTCATATACGGACAACTCTTTCGCAAAATATTGCAAGATCTTCTGGTTACAGGGACAAACAAATGTTATAGCAAACATATAAAAGAGACCTCAAACATGCCTCTATTATATTTTATTTTAAACGTTTAAGCAATACAAACACCAAGTTAAACACAAATACAGAAAATTTCAGTTATATTAGGTTTGTATTTGCAATACACATGTGGTAGGATAAAAAAAGCATTTAATATTCTCTTTCTATTTTATGATACTTTTCCTTTTATTTTTGTCTGTTTTTGTTTTGTTGATTTTCTATTAAACACCGCATAGTCCCTCAGTAAAACTGATTACAAGTTATCAGGTTATAAACCAGTTAAAGGGCTCTGCTGAGATTTACCTGTTACTTTTCTGTGCTCATAGATTTTTTTTTATTACATACAAAAAAGAATAAAATGTCTATGTAGCAGAGAATTAAATTCATGACAGAGCATTTTATTTGTGTGTGCTGGCACTTAAAATGACATGCTTGCTACACACTGATTCAAGAGTGGAAAGTTTATCACACTGTAACACTGGTATTGGAAATTAACCTGTTATGTATTTGATTGTCCTGAAAAGATAAATTTAACACGCAAAAATGTTTAATTTTAGCCAATTAGCCTTCCACTTATGGACAATTATCCCCTTAAAATTCCCTTCTGGGAAACTCTTTTCAAACTTTATATATAGCACTACTTTTGTTACAACAACCATCTGCAAATGGAACAAAAATTTATAATGGTTTTCTATAAATTCATCTAGAACTCTGACTGTATTCCCTTTTCAAAAAAAAAAAAAAAAAAAAAAAAAAAAAAAAAAAAAAAAAAAAAAAAAAAAAAAAAAAAAAA